GTCTCAGCACCATCAGATGCAAAGTGTCCCAGGCAGGTAACCTAGACATGTACCTTTTCTATGAAGGTGGTTCTTCAAAATCTGAATATTGGGCACCCATATAATCCATGAAGTCTTGGTGCAGACCTCTTCGGAGATCCACTTGCTCCTCCACCACAGCCTGTACATTTAGGGGAAGAATGGCCTCCAGGGGGTCTCCCCGAGTATTGCGCAAGGTCCTCCTGGTTTCCAGCTCCCAAATGGCTCCCATGTCCCCAGTCAGCTCAACCTCTGAGTCATCAGGCGTTGATACTCTCGTGTTCTCTGAGTCCTTGTTCATCAGCTGCTCCTCCGCTGACTCCAGACCTTTCTGGCTCTCAAGGGTAGGGCCAAGAGCGACCTGCCATGTGGCATGTTTTCCTAGAGGTTTCTCCATGTCAGGATGGTTCATGCAGGTCTCTGGGCGGGCCTATTGTGTCAGTGCTTCTCTGTGGCATGGCATTTCTTGACTGTGTGGTGGCAGCTGGCCCGAGGGCTGGCACATGTCTCCACGCCACTTCCTGGGCGCTTGCTGCCTGCCTTTCCGGGTGCCTGCGCGGCTGGGTGCACCGGACCCCGAAGGGCCGGCGCTCCCCAGCCACACAGCCTCCGGGAGTGGGCACCTGCAGCCTGCCTGCCTCCCCGGGTGCCTGCAAGGCCTCCCGGAGCCTCCCAGAGTGGGCACCTGTCACCTGCCTGCCTCCCTGGGTGCCTGTGAATTACCATTTCTTACCTACAAAGCTGGCAGAAACAATTTACTTTGTTGGGTAGGCTTTGGCAATACAGACATGCTTAGCAGAGCTTTTGTGCCTCCCCAACAGGCAGCTGGGGTGTCATCAATCAGAAGTGCAGTAAAGAGGAAACAAGTTTTTGAACCTCTAGGAGGTTGAGTTCAGGTCAGTTGGTTTTTGAGTCCAGAACTGGTGTCTTTGGGGAGAGGGGCTGGCTGACAGGAGCCAACTAAAGGCAGAAGAGGGCATTCTTTAGGTCCAGGCAGGTGTACCAGCAGGATATGGGTGGCAGAAGACTGAGGCAACATATACAGAGGGCAATCAAGGCAGTATTGGCAACTTGGATATCTTGAATTGGCTTTATAGGCAGGAGTGGTGTATTTCAGCAGTTTGACAGTCTATAAGTATTTTGCAGTTTTGAAACCTCTGTATGTGTGGTTGAATTTCTAGCTGAGTCTCTCATGGCATGGGATACTGTTTGATATAGGTGGGGGTTGCCCCAGGGTACAATTTGCAGTGACAGAATTGTGGAGCTGGAAGAGAAAGAGAAACAGTCTGTCTCAGTGCAGCCAAACTTGTCAGAGCGTCCCTAGAAATAGTGGGAGAGTTCCCAAACCCTTGTGGCAATTGAGTAACAATCCCAAAAGGCTGTGTGGATTGGGAAGTGCAAAATCTAAGGGGATGGCTGTGTTGTTGATGGCATGGAGATCTTGCCCAAGGTGATTAACAGTCTATCAGGCTGCTCTGTGGCTGGCTGCCTGTTTGTGTTTCTTGTGACATCTGTCAGCAACAGGGGTTGTGGTGAAGTGGCATGGTTGATGGCCAGGCCCAGAGGTGAGTCTTTATACCCCTGGAAGTCTTTATACCCCTGAAGTTTTCAGAACTTCAGGATTGCCGTTATCGGTCTCAGGCTGATGCAGGCATCATCTTTTTCTTGGGGAATAGTCAAAGTTGAAAGCACAGGGTTACATGAGAGGGAGGCTGACTGCCTTGGTGCAAAGGAGATGTTTTCCCAGGCTGTTTATGTCCAGCAGAAGGGGCAGAGGCAAGAGTCCCAGTTGCCCCAGTGATGGTAACTTTTTCAGAGGGAACTTTTTTTTTTTTTTTTTTTTTTTGGTTTTTCTCCGGTACTGGGAACCGAACTCACAACCTTGCGCTTGCCAGGCAGGTGCTTTGCCGCTGAGCTAAATCCCCAGCCCCTCAGAGGGAACTTTTGAAGGCAGAAAGTTCTGTTCCATTGTCTACCAGGGAAGTTACAGGTTCACCCTCGACTTTTGCAATGATCATGGGCTCTCAGGGGCCCAATTTGATAGAGTTCAGTCTGTCCTATCAATTCAGGCCCGACAGGCTGCAACTCATTTGCCAGGGTTGACAGTCCAATTTTTCCTCAAAATGTGGAACTCAAAAGGAACTGTTGATAGTCATCTCGGGTGGACATTAGATGATGCCATCTGACTGGGATAGGTGTGTAAGCAGGCTCTGGAGGGAGCCGAATGCAGACAATGGCCAGCTAGAACCAGTTCATTTGGCTGGAAGGAGATGAGTCGGGAGTAGAGAGTGAAGCTATAGGTGTTGGCAGGAACTGCGGCAGCCAATGAGGGTGCCAAGGTGGTATTCTCTGGAAGAATGGGCCTCTTTTTCCTTTTTTTTTTTTTTGTTTTGAGATGCAGGGAGCGGTTTGGTTTCATTTTTAACTCTGTTAAAAAGCACCTTTTCCTGCAGTCAGGGACTGTGTGTTTTAACTAAGTAGTTCCCATTCTATCTCCCTATGGTGTATGTTGTGTACCCTTGAACGACAGCACAACAGAAAAAGGGTAGGTGCCGCACAGAGATTGTTTAGATACCCACCTGGCATGCCCCTTACAGGGTCTTGGGCACGACTTAGCTAAGGAGGGTGCAAGGCCTCTATTATATGTTGACTGCCATGCAACTGCAGGTGAGGGCCCAATCAGCCACTGCAACCAGTGCTTCCCAGTCTCGGTGCACAGATGGAGCAGACTATTGCTCACACTGTTCATTCCACTCACCCAATCACTCAGCAGGCACTTACAGGTTGAACATTCCAACCCGCTTCCTTTGAGGGTGGTCTTAACAAGAGTTGAACAAGCTCTTCTGCTTGAACTGGACTGACTGGGGTGCCCCCGGGGGTCTTACTGGAATGAGGGAGGCAGGCAGACAGACAGATTATATCCTCTTGCCTTTGGGGTCTGATGTGAGCCACTTGAGCGGCAAGCCAGGAATCCTCCTCCAGACCTCTGAGAGGACTCGAGAAATCTCGAGGGCACGCCTTCCCATCAGGACCTAGAGAGGTCCTTCCTCCGTCCACAAGGGCCATGACTGGTGACCAAAGAGGTCAGCATGGTCAGTCTTCCTGGTTGAACACACTAGATGCAACAGCAAACAGAAATATAAAAACAACACTCAGGATTTGGAGACAGATTTATTTACTTTGATGGGCACTGATCAGGATCATTCCCAGAATACTGGGCCCTGACTGCTGGTGGTCTAGGGCTTATATGAGATAAGCAAGCAGGAAGTACACAGGCAGAATGGCTTGTTAACTGGGGATTGGTTTATACAATGTGCACCATAGTGACCAGTGACCATCACAATGAGCAGCTGTTTCTAAGAGACAGAAGCATCCAGAACTGGAACAGGAACTATTACCTGGGCAACTAAGAAACTGAAAGATATTGACGGGTTAGGGGGGCATATTCCTGTTACAATATGACCAGTATTTTATGCACAATTTTTTTTTTTTTTTTGAGACAAAGTCTTGCTATGTAGTTCAGGCTGTCCTTGAACTCACTATCTAGCCTAGGTCACTTCAAACTCGCATTGATTCTCCTGCCTTAGCCTCCCAAGTGCTAGCTAGGATTATAGGCATGAGCCACCACCCCCAACTCTATGAACTATTACATGAACAATAATCTCAAGTGAAATGTCTGAGCATTTTACAAGATAAACATTTAAAATATATACTATAATGTGTTGTTTCTTCTATTTGTTCTCTTCTTTGCCTGTTCCTAAGGCTGCCAGTGGACCCCTCAGGAATTGAATAGTGTATCAGGAAGTACAAGAACATGCTTTGCTATGAAGATTCACATGCCTCAGCATATCATCCTACTTACAACCACGGCCTATTACAGCAGAGCACACAAGGTAAGGGCTGAGCTACAGCACAGTGGTAGAGCAGGTGCTCCACATGCACAAGGTCCTGGTTTCAATCTAGCACCATGAACACACACACACACACACACACACACACACGCACGCACACGCACGCACACGCAGATCAAAACAGCAAAGGGAAAAGGTTCATGGGGCAAAGTCTTGGGAAAACCAGGTACAGATCCTTTGCCAGTGGAATCACACAAGACACACCTCACACCTCCAGCAAGTGAACTGTGACCACATACATGAAAAGTTATCTACCAGGGAAACCTGCTAGAGATACAATGCCTAGGGTTTTACTAGGGACTAGTCACAAAGGTTTCTTCTAACTGATACGCATTAAAAGTCTTGGGGCAACCACTTTCCAGGGCCCCGTCTGTCCCTCGCAGACAGAAGCTTTCTTCCTCTCAATAAATTCTTCCTACTCTTGGCCTCCTTTATTCCTAGAATTTATTCCTTGATTTCAGAGAACATGAACTTGGTGTTTTAGAATCTAGCAGACTGAGAGTTTCTTTCCCTTATATCACAAGCTCACTCTGTGGAACCAATTTCTCCTCTACTTTTCACTTTTACTTTCTAGAATAAACTTTGTCACTGTTTAAAAGAAAAACAATGAAATTCTCAACTCCCACAAGGAAAATAAGTGTTCTGCACAAGCTGCATTATACAATCAGCTGGGTCACACTGAGCCACTCTTGTCAGAAAGAGTAGAGGGAGCCCTCCTGACAGCTAAGACCCCATCTGGGTCAGCCAAAGACCAGCCTTATCAGCAGGACTTTCTATGGAAAACAGGCCTGCTATGTCATTCTTTCCTGCACACCGTGTCAATTCTGTAGGAATAACTGCCATAGATATTTTCAGATTCAAGAAGATAATTCAGAAAGATGATTTTTTAAAAAAAGACGTAACAGCCTGGTATGATGGTGCATGCCTGTAATCCCAGCACTCTGAAGGTTGAGGTAGGATTGTTGCAAGTTCGAGACCAGTCTGGGCTACAAAGTGAACTCCAGGCCAGCCTGAACTGCATAGTGAGAACCTGTCTCAAAAACAAAAAAAGACACACACACACAAATTTCCTACCTGAGGAACGGTTAATTCATTTATGTTAATTAATACAGCTATATTTTATTTGTATTAGCTTTCTGAAAAATACATTAAGAATACATGAAAAACAAAGGAAAAATAACTTTGGTCCTAATGAACCCTGGAATCTTGGTAGTCCAATAAAAACAGAGCTCTTTAAGTACTGGTATAAGCTAAGTCTATATTCCCATGTGTCACTCCCCCAGAAATGGACTTCATATATACATATATATGTAAGTAAAAATAAAGATGATGAGCCCTTGGCATTAATAGTTTTTTTGTCGTTGCTTTTTAGAACCAGGAATTGAACTCAGGACCTTTCACCTGCCAGGCTGGCGCTGTGCTGCAGAGCTCTACCCCTGGCCTGGCATAATACTGTCAGGTTTATAGGTATAATTTTCTTCATCTAACATTTTGGGGATACAAGAAGAAACTTCTTTCTGTTGTTCTCGCCACTTGAGTATATTCTCTGCCAGTTCCTCTGTCTCATTCACCAATATATCCATCTTGGCTAAAGCCTTGCTCTGTAACAATCGAAAGAAAGAGAAAATAGGAGATAAATCATATCTGTCATTAACTCATTATAGCAATTTCACAAATGTATATACCAAAAGCTAATACCTGAACTTTTCCCAGTCCCTTATTGCAAAATCTCCTTAAACTTGTGTTCTCTCCCTAGCTATAGTACATACCTTTTCTCTGTTCACTTCTTTGTCATCAATCATCACTAAGTGCAGATGACCTTTAACCTGCTGTTAAACCAGTTCTTTCTAAAATGCAGCACCGCCTCGATATGTAGTCCCATGTTGAAGTCCATCAACAATCTTCATCTGGATGTACATTTAGTATCTCAAACTCCATAGATCAACAAAGAACGGTTGAACATTTAATGTGCAAGACATATCAAAAACAATTCAACAATGAGTCCTTGGTTGATCAGCATTGCAAATCTATATCTGTTTTCATGAGAAGCCACTTTGAAGATATCAATATGTAATACAACAAGCATTGTTAATTTCCTACCACTTTGTAACTCTGTATTGTCTGTACTGTTCTTTTGCTATTTTGTAAAATGTTGTCTGTCTGTTAATGTTTTCCTCCTTTTATTTTCAAAATAAAAAAACAAAACAAAACAAAACAAAAACAAAAACAAAAACAACTCAAGACAGGCACAGTGGCACATGCCTATAATCCCAGCACTTGGGAGGCTGAGGCAGGAGGATTGACTGGAGTTTGAGGCCAGCCTGGGTTACATAGTGTGTGTTCACAGCCAAGCCAGCCTGAACTACATAGTGAGACTCTGTCTCAAAAAACAAAAGCAAAAACAAAACAGAAAAAAAAAAAACAAAAAAACAAAACAAAAAAAAAACAATCATTTCTTAAACACATTCATGATGGGGCTGTAATTCATATGTCTCACTGCCAGGCAGCTCTGAACCATTAGTGATACCTGTATGATTATCCCATCACTGGTGGTATACAAGCCAGCGGGAACACATTAATGTTCACTTGATGCTACTTACCACCCGCAAATTACCCAGGCTAAAAACTATACTACCTAGGGCAGGCATGGTGGTGCATACCTGTAATCCCAGCACTCGAGAGGCTGAGGCAGAAGGATCATGGGTTCAAGGCCACTGGGCTACATAGTGTATTCAAAGTCACCCTAAACTATACAGTGAGACCCTGTCTCAAAATGGACAAATAAAAAACACCACAAAAAACCTACATTACCTTGAATGAATCCCTTGTCCAAATAATGACTAAGATCTAGAAATGTGACCTTGTCCAAATAATAGTCAAGATCTGGAAATGTGACCTCAAAAATTGAAAAAAAACAACAACAACAAAAAAAAACTATATAATCCTTTGTATTTCTGTGCTTCTGTATTTTTTTATGTGAGTCTTTAAAGTAGATGACTGTAATTAGTTTTTAGGTTTCTTTATTTCTCTAATTCAAGCAGGTCATATTTTAAAATGTGCTAATACAGGAATTACTTAAAGAATTTCCTAAAAATGTAGATTTTAATCTTGAAGGTTGGAGCGAATGAAGTCTGCAATCCATTATTTCTTATTTTCTTTCTTTCTGTCTGTCTCTCTTTTCCTCCCTCCTTTCCTCTTTCTTTTTTTGGGGCAGTACTGGGAATGGACCCCTGGGCTTTATGCATGCTTAGCAAATGCTCTACCATCTTAGCTCTGTAATTCTCTTTTTTCTTTTCTTTTCTTTTTGAGACAGGGTCTTGGTATAGTTCAGGGTGGTCTTGAGCTCACTATGTAGCTCAGGCTGTCCTTGAACTTATGGCAATCCTCTTGCTTCAGCCTCCTGAGTGCTGGGATTACAGGCGTTTGAAACCATGCCCACCTAGCCGTATAATTCTGCATTTTTCACAAACTTTCAGGTGATATTGTTCTTTGCCCATACTCAGAGTAGCAAGGCTAAGTCTCCCCTATTCAGTATTTTCTCCACACTTACAGCACAATTCTAACCAAGTCACTACTCTGTACTCTTCACTAAAAAATAAATAAAATTAAATAAATAAACATTCAGCCAGCACAGAAGACAGGGTACACATCTATAATCCCAGTGCTGACAGGTTGAAGCATAAGGATCTTAAATTCAAATCCAGCCTGGGGAATTTAGTGACTTAATGAGACACTGTCTCAAGATAAAAAGAAAAGGCTAGGGATGTAGTTCAGTGTGAAGTTCCTAGATTCACTCTCCAGTGCCATCAATGAATGAATAAATGAAATACTCAATGGCTCTCCAGTATGGTAGTAAAGTCTAAAGTTCTTGGTCAGATTTTGAAGACATATCATAAACCTTATATAAAACCTTTTATACCATAAACATGATATAAAACATATCATGCCTTTAGGCAACAGCAAAAGTAAAATAACATTTTTCCTCAAACTCTGACTTCCATGTCTTCCTCACATTGGTGCATTCGCCCAAAGTATTCTTTCTGATGCAAGGCCAAATTTCACAGTTCTTCAAGATTCAGCTTTTCAAACTGGGCATAGTAGTACACACCTGTAATGCCAGCACTCAGGAGGCTGAGGGAGGAGGACTGCTGTGAATCTGAGGCCAGCCTGGGCTACAAAGTGAGTTCAAGGCCCACCTGAACTACATAGTAAAACCCTGTCTCAAAAAGACTCCCCCACCTGCCCCCCAAAATCAGCTTTCCATGAATTCCTATATAAAACCTTTTGAACTCTTCCTATACTCTATTCTACTTCCAATCCTCCACACTGGAAGTAATGCCTCTCTTCTTTGTTCTCAATAGGTAGCTTTTCCTTATGGACATTTAAAAATTTTCCTAGTATTGAAGACTGAAGTCAGGTGTGTTTTAACTTTTAAAAATTTTATTATGAGACAGAGTCTTGCTAATTTGCCTGAGATGGGCTTGAACTTGTGATCTTCCCTCAGCCTCTCAAGTAGCTGGGATTATAGGAGTAAACCATGACACCTAGCTATATCTCTTTATAATTAAAAGCTGCACTTACTATGTAAACACAGTCCTATTAGTAGAAAGGATCTTAATGCTGTATTACCATGTCTCATCCTGAGGGCAGGATTCAGGGATATGTTTCTTTTATAATACATGGATCACAGCCCTTGTACAACAAAGATAATATATTTTTACTAAATTCTGGAATAAAAAATTTATTGAAAGCCTTTCAGGTCAGGTGTGCTGGTGCATGCCTACACACCCAGCAATCAGGAGGCTGAGACAGGTTATCCAGGCTGTCCTCAAACTTGCAATCCTCTTGTCTTAGCTTCCTGAATAGTTGGGATTCAGGCATATGCCATGGTGCCTGGCCAGAAAAATACTTCTTGATTTTAAAAATCATTACCTCATAATTTTAGTGATTAAAAAGTTAAATGAGAGGATCGTTGTTATGGCTTGTATCTAGATGTCCCTCCAAAGCCTTGTGCAGTCATAGGCGGGTCCTTTTGAAGATGGGTGGGTCTAGGATGTGTGATGCTGGGATTAAGGGTGTGTCATTACTAAATCAGTCCACTGATTTCGTTAGCATAATTCTGGGTATGGATAATGAGAAGGCCCTCACTAGGTATGGACGGCACCACCCAAAAGGCAGGTAGCCTAGAAGGAATAAAAGGGAAAGGTAGGCTGCTGCTGATGCTGGCTGCTTTGTTATCTCCTGCCTGCATGCCATGGACTAGTTTTCCTCTGTGACGCCCCTCTACCATCCTACCCTGCCTTGGAACCAGCTCACTATGAACTGAAATCTCTACAAACTTTGAGCTGAAATAAACCTTTCCTTCTTTAATTTGTGGGTGTTGGGTATTTTGTCTCAGCAACAACAAAACTAAGACAATCACACATTTTGAGATTCTAGTACAAGAGAATGAAATATAGCTATATTACTACTTACCATTTTCTTCAGATTTTCATCTAAATGAGGGATATTTCTAATTGTTTCAAGATGGGTTTCCAATTTCTCAATGAAAGTCACAGCCAATTGCAGCAAATGTACTATGTATCTGAAAGATGGAGAAAAAAAAAATCAGCATTTTTTTGGTTTATGTTTCTGTTACCTTATTTTTCCTTTAATCAAGACTCTTAATTTACAATAAGAGAATACAATCAACCTAATGAGCCAATAACATCTTCTTGTATTCATAAAAATACCAATGATTGGCTGCATGTGGTGGCACATGCCTATAATCCCAGCACTCAGGAGACTGAGGCAGGAGGATTGCCAGGAATTCAAGGCCAGATTGGGCTATATATGAGTTCAAAGCTAGCCTGAACTACATAGGGAGAACCTATCTCAAAAAGAAGGAAGGAAGGAAGGAAGGAAGAAAGAAAGAAAGAGAAAGAAGGAAAAGAAGGAAAAGAGAACTTTCTCTTTGGGACAGGTAATAAATGCTTATAGTCCCATTCTAGCACTCTCAGAGGCCAAGACAAGAGGATCACAAGTTCAAACCCAGCCTGGGCAATTTAACAACTTAGCAAGACCCTGCCTTAAAATAAAAAATAAAAAACTTCTGGAGATGTAGCTCAGTGCAAAGATCCTGGGTTCAATCTCCAGCACCACAAAACTAAAAAAGAAAAGGTCCTTCTCTTTTCCTTTAAGCAACAGTTAACATCTAAGAAAAAGAAAAACAAACAAAAAACCAGAAAGACAACACTAATCATCATATCTAGAACCCAATCTAATGTTAGATAACCCTCAATGGTAATAATTTTTTCATAACGATTTTCCCTAGCTAAAATCTCATTCCATTTAAATTTCATTCTAAGTAAAAAGTGAAGATAATACAGATAAATTTCCGAGCGTGATAGCATACACCTGTAATCCCAGCACTCAGGAGGCTGAGCTCAAGGCAAGCCTGAACTGCATAGCAAGACCCTGTCTCAAAAAGACAACAAATAAATAAATAAAAGATAAATATACTACATTGAAAGTCTTCACATAAAGGTACATTGAGTATTTGAATTTGGAAAATGCTTTAAAATCACCATTCAGTTTTTCTTTGTTTTTGAGACAGGATCTCACTTTACAGTTCAGGTTGGCCTTGAATTTAGTATGTAGCCAGGATGGCCCTGAACTTGCTATGATCTTCCCCTCTCAGCCTCCTGAGTGTTAGAATCACAGACATGCATACCAGAACAGGCCCTCAGTTCTTCTCTGAAATATATAATACTATATATACATTAGTGGTTAGACACTGAATACAGCCAAAAGAACAAGGGTTGTATTATTATTTTACTACAAAATAAAAAGTTCTGACATTTAAGAGACAATAATTCTAGCCACTGAGAAGCTGATAGGAGAAACATGAGTTCAAGGCCAACCTGTGCAACATAGCAAGACTGTCTCAAAAATAAGAAAAGAGCTCAAAATGGTGGTATATGCCTATAATTTAAGCATTCAGGAGGCTGAGGCAAGAGGATCACCATTAATTTGAGGCCAGCCTGGATTACACAGTGAGTTCAAGGTCTACCTGGACTATATAGTGAGACTCTGTCTCAAAAAACCAAAAAAAACCCCCCCAAAACCAAAAAAAACAAAAAACAAAAAACCCTACCCTTCAATTTGATCTGTGTAATACCCTAATGAGGAAGAGAGCAACAAAAACCATCCCATTCTATGGATTATGAAATCGAGGCAAAAGTTGAAATCATATGCTCAAGATTTTGAAGCATAAACACAACAGAGATGAGACCAGAATCCAATTTTTTACTTCCCCATAGTTTACATTGTTTTGAGCTCTTCATGTTAAACACTTCCAACAGAACTTTTATACATGGGAAACATTAATTCAATAATAAATTTACTTCACAGAAAACAATCTGTACATAATAAAAACAATTTTTATCCACTTTGTTACATGTTTGTATCTAATTTTTTTTCATTAAAGCCATAATTTGTAATTCCCAACACACAATGGGTAAGAGAAGTCCTTTCTTTTCACCATACAATTTTTTTTTCTGTTTTTTTTTGAGACAAAGTCTCACTATGCAGTTCAGGCTGCCTCAAACTCACAGTGACCCTCCTACCTCAGCCTCCTGAGTGCTGCGATTACAGGCACGTGCCACCATGCCCAGCACATCATAGCTACAATTCTTTAAAAGCAGAGGATTTTTTTTTCTGGTTCAATTTATCAACATTAATAATGTTAACAACTATAATCAGCAATACACTGTTTCATGAAAGATGCTCTAAAGTAACTGCTAGTCTAACCAAAAACTACCCTCAGAAAACATGGAGAACTGCTCATTCCCACTCCGCAGGCTAACCTGTGGTAAACAGCTTCCATAGGTAAGTTTTCCTGGCACATGGGCTTCATCAGCCTTTGCCGGAGAGACCTCTTCTTTTTTAACACTGCTTCTAGATGAGTATTCATGCTTTGCAGGGTATGACACTTCTGAGCTACACAAACAAGAAATGGTAGTGACAGTTAGCAACAGGGCTGGTACATTTGGAATCACCAATGCTTTCTTCTTTGGTTTAGTAATAACAATGTTACAACTTAATGCAAGGCCAACTACAGGGCCAGGGCCTGTAATTTCAGTACTCAGAAAATGGGGCAGAAGAATCCTTTCAGACCAGGAGTTCAAGACCAGCCTCAGCAATATAGCAAGATCATATCTAAGAAAAAATGAATCTGCAATTTCCCTCCTAAACATCTCCCCTTTTCCCCACTGCTACCTCTAATAACCAATACTAATTTAAACTACTTTCTCTCACTTTTCCCACTGACAAACAAATACAGAGCTAAATTCTTTGTTTTTGAGCTAGAGTTTCACTGTGTAGCCCAGGCTGGCCTTCAGTTTGTGGCAGTCCCCTTGCTTCAGCCTCAAGTGTTGGGATTCATGCCTGGCTGTTACTTAGTTTTGATAGCCAGAGCCATATTCTTCACATAAAGTCTCTTTTCTTATCCTTCCTCTAGTATCCTACATAGGAGCATTACAAAGTAAATCAGGTGGGCACAGTGGTACACACCTGTCATCCCAGCACTTGAGAGGCTGAGGCAGGAGGATCAACAGTTTGAGACCAACCTAGGCTACACAGTGAGTGTGAGGCCAGCCTGGATTACATAGCAAGACCCTGTCTCAAACAAACAAACAATCCAAAAATTAAAAAAAAAAAAAAAAAAAGTAATCTTGCAAACTACTTATGATTATCATGGAATTTCCCCTAGAATTCAGGTAATGGCTGTCAACTTCCTCTTCTATGTTTTTTGTTTTGTTTTGTTTTTCGTTTTTCTTCTGGTACCAGGAATCAAACTCATGACCTTGTGCTTGCCAGGCAGGCGCTTTGCCGCTGAGCTAAATCTCCAGCCCCTACTTCCTCTTATATAAAATTTTAATTTGAAGACAGGCATGGTGATGCACGACTGTAATCCCAGCACTTAGAAGGTTGAGGCAAGAGGATCACCGCAAGTTCAAGGCCAGCCTGGGCTACACAGCAAGACCCTATCTCCAAAAAAAAATTTAATTTGAAAACATGCAAACTTACAGAAAAGGTTTTAAAACATTCTATAAACTTCCATATAGACGCACCAATTAACATCTAGAGACATTTTTTTCCTTCTGATCTCTCTCTACACTAGCACACCTACAAACACATGAACCTACCTTTTATTCTCAAAAAGATTCATTTTAGATGTTGCAGACAGCAAGATCTTTTATCCTTAAAACTTCAGCATGTTTTTTCCAAGAACAGGAACATTTCTCTTATACATACAATTACTATATAGCACATTATCAAATTCTGAAATTTTTTTCTGAAAAATTTAACATTGATATAATGTTACTATTATTTAATATAGCCTATATTTAACATTATTGGGTCACCAAGTGTCCCAATAATGTTCTTTAACCAAAAAAGCAATTTTTTTGGACTGACTATACAATCCATAATCAGACAGTGCTTAAGCTCTCATGCCAAGTTAATCACCTTTCACCTGGAAAGTTCTTCACCCTTTCTTAGTGTTCTGTCTTCTCTTGACTCTGAGGAGCAGGTATAGCTTGAATAAGGCTAGAGTGCATCACCACAGAGGTCGTGTGTCAGGAACTTAGTCTTCAAAGTGGCAGTGTTGGAGGCAGAGTGGAACCTCTAAGAGGTGAGGGCTGGCAGGAAGCAATCAGGTCGGGAGGGCACTGCCTTGGAGAAACCAGTGTGGTTCTGGGACTCTGGTTACTGGTCAATTCTCTTGGGAGGGGTGTTATAAAAATCAGCCTGACCCTTGAATCACTCTCTGGCTTCCTGTCTTGCCACACACCCTGTCCTTGCCAAGCACTCCACCACTGTGATGCCATCCACCTTACCAGAGCCAGCCAGTACCATGTCCTCAGCCCTCTGAACTGTGTATTCACTAAACCTCTTTTCTTTATATATTATCCAGCATCAGATATTCTGGTAAAGCAACAGAAAACAGACTAATATAGGAGTTAGCTCAGTCACTTTTTTTTGTTTTGTTTTGTTTTTGGGGTTTTTTTGTTCTTTTTCAGACAGGGTCTTGATATGCAGTTCAGGCTGGCCTTGAGCTCACTTTGTAGCCCAGGCTGGTCTCAAACTCACAATGATCTTCCTGCCTCAGCCTCCCAAGTGCTGGAACTATAGGCATGTGTCACCACACCCAGCCTTTCAGTCATATTTTAGACTATTTGCACTAGTCAGGTCAACAGGACTTATATTTGTGCAGAGAAATAGAAATTTCTTTTTGTCCTTTTTTTTTTGTTTTTGGAACTGGGAATTGAACTCAGGACTTCATGCTTGCCAGGCAGGCGCCATGCCACTGAACTATATCCCTGGCCCCCATTTTTGTCTTTTTAAGACACTGTTTCACTATGCAGTTTAGGCTGGCCTCGAACTTGCAGCAATCTTCCTGCCTCAGCCTCCTGAGTGCTGGGATTATAGGGGAGCACCATGGAGAAACAGAATTCTTTGGGAGCTACAAGGCAATACCTGGAACAAACATAGCACAGCAAACTTTTGCTGGCGGTAATCCAAGAAAAAGTTGAAATTCCAATGATTATGTACTCAACCAAATCACTTACCCAAATAGGAAGGATGAACAACATCTGCTGTTTCTTTTTCCAGTTCCAAAAGTTCAATTTCCAGGTTTTTCTACATTAGCAACAGAAGTAGTAACATTCAGCTTACTCAGAGAGTATTCTGAGGCCAAAGGCTCAAGCATTAATAAAAATGCAGTCTTGGGCACCCACTACACAGAAGTGGTCCCTGTGTCCCTGCTACCCCCTGCCCTGCCTCCCATCTCATGCTGTCTGCTTTAACTTGCTGTGTTTTCCCTGCCCTAATCTTGTTCATTGACGAGGACAGGAGACCCTGAAATGGGGAGAGGGAGTTAGTTGTACAATCAAGGTTCCTGGGGCACAAAATACAAGGCAGTGAGTACACAGGCCAGAACATTTAGCACTCTGCAAGGCCTGGAAAGGCTCAGATTTCCCGTGTGCTCTGAACGGGGCAGTGATGGGATCCAAATTCCATTTTTAAGCAGCTTGCCACAGCCAGGCATGATATCACACACCTGTAATCCTGGCACTCTGGGAGGTTGAAGCACGAGGACCACAGATTCTAGCCCAGCCTGGGTAATTTACCAATTTAGCAAGGCACTGTCTAAAAAAAATTAAAAAATAAAATATGGGCTGGGTATGTAGCTCAGTGTGAAGGCCCTGGGTTCAATCCCTACCAGAAAATGTATGTGTAGGGGGAGGATCCCTCTGAAGCAAGGCATGGCAGTACACACCTGTAATCCTTTTTTTTGAGACAAGGTCTGCCTATGTAGTGCAGGCTGGCCTTCACTCACTATGGAGCCAGACTGGTCTCGAACTCACAGTGATACTCCTGACTCAGCCTCCCAAGTGCTAGGATTACAGGCCTGCACACCATACTTGGCTACAACTGTAGTCCTTGCACTCAGGGAGGATGAGGCAAGAGGACTAGAAATTCAACACCATCCTAGACCATTCCGGGAGGCCCTGTGATGGGAAGATCTATGCATGTAGGAGTCCAGGTGATTTAAGAAAGCTTTTTATTTTACTGTCATTGCCCTCCTGTGGCTACTGTTAGGTCTTGTTAATTTACCCAAACTGGGTTTAAACCTGTGATCCTCTAGCATTAGCCTCCCCGACAGTGCTGGGATTACAGGCATGCACCACTATGCCTACCTTGTTCTACTTCAGCTGAGAATCAAAACCAGTACCTTACATATGCCATGCATCTACACTACCACTGAACTACATCCCAACTTAAGGATTGTTTCCCCCTGCCCCCCGGAGAAGTAGGAAGTGAAAAGTTCAACATAAATTACCTGGTAGATTTCAGCTTGAATATCTGTGGTCTGCTGTAGTCTGGAGAAGTTTACAAAGCAAGGAGCTGTTTTCTTCGATATGTTTAACATCTCCTATTGGTATATAAAGAGGGAAAGCAGGAGTATGTGACAGGAAGTTTCTATGTATGTTGGAATAGCATGCCCATAGGACTAAAAAAAGACATTATGGGGCTGGGGATATAGCTCAGCGGCACAGCACCTGCCTGGCAAGCACAAGGTCCTGAGTTCAATTCTCAGTACAAAAAAAAAAGACATTACGTCCAACCCTGGCCCTAAACACGAAACATAGAGCAAAACAGTAATATACATTTCTTGTTTCTAGGATCTTCATCGTCACAAATCTCTTGCCTAAATGCATGAAAAGTGAGACAAGACTATTAGTACTATTTCCTAAAGCCCACAAGCTAGCCCTAGATAAAATGAGCAAAAAATAAATGTCACTGGGAAGCTTCTTTGAAAAGGAGGAAAGAAAGCAGAAGACTCTGACTGCCAACGAAAAGAAAGTTACATTTAAAAGAAAATACCAGGAGTCCTGGTAAATTATAGTTCATTCCTACAGGTGATTCACATTCACATTTAAGGATTACAACTTTGTCCTACATTATAAAAAAAAGAGAAAAAAAAAAGCAGAAATTGGAGAATACCAGAAGATCCTTACCTTCAGTAACTGATACTATATATTATATACTTTACATGCTACTGGGATAAAGGGATCTGAAAGTGAAAGGATTCTAAGCAAAAGGAGAAGTCCATGTAGGACATAGGACATTCCTGTTTACTCTGTAGCTAGGCACAATAAGAAGTTAGAATCCAAGCCCTTATGTTTAATGTAAGAACCTTCACGCCAGGTACGGTGGTGCATACCTGTAATCCCAGCGCTAGGAAGGCTGTTGCAGGAGTATCCTGAGTTCAAGACCAGCCTAGGCTACATAGTGAGACTCTGTCTCAGGGTGTGGGAGAGGGGGGGACGCAGCATAGCAAAGCAGTTAGGAAGAGGTTCTTGACAGGTGTAATGGTGCAGCCTGTAATCCCAGCACTCTGGAAGGCTGACGGAGAAGTCTAGCCTGAGCAATTTAAGGACTTAGGTTCTGTCTCAAAAATTAATACAAATAAAAAGGCCCAGCGATATAGTTCAGTGGGAAGAGCATGGTTCAATCTCCAATACTGCAAATAAATAAATTAAAAATTAATTTTTAACATTAATTTTTAAAAGAGTTACCCTGGGTTCAATTCTCAGTACCACAAGAGGGAGAGAGAGTAGCTGTTCTCAAATAGAGAAGAGAGTGGAGAAGACAGTAGGACGCAGATGGAGAAATTAGTAGTAGACTCAAAGATTTTTTTTGTAGGTCCAGATCCTTAAACACTGCCAGCAGAAGAAACTTGACTAAGACTATGATTCAGTCAAGCTTGCTAGAAAACACCCATAATGTAAGGCCACTACAGCAATTCTAGAGGCATAAACTAAAGCAAATACCTTATTATCCTACATACAGTTAAACCTACCTTTCTTTCAACAAATCATTCTCCCAATGAACACAGAAATCAATAGTGTACCTGTACATCACTAATGAACTCACTAAGAAATACCTTAGGAAAATAATACTATTCACAATAGCATCAAGAAAAATTAAATACTGAGGAATTAACCTAATCAAGGAAGTGAAAGACCTCTATAATGAAAACTACAGTACTCTGAAAAAGGATACTGAAGAGTCCATCAGAAAATGGAAAGATATCTCCTTTCAGGATAGGTGGAACCAACATAGTCAAATGGCCATACTTCCAAAATGACAGATTTAACACAATCTCAATAAAGATACCAAGAGCATTCCTCATTGAACTAGAGAAAACAATCATAAAATTCATATGGAACCAGAAGAGACCCAGAACAGCAAAAGCAACCCTGGGTGACAAGGGCAAAGCAGAAGGGATCACAATCTCAGATTTGAAGTTACATCACCAAGTTACAATGATAAAGACAACATAGTTCTGGCACAAAACATAGACATGTGAATCCATGGAATAGAAAGAGGAAGCAGAAACAATCCCAGGCACATTCAGCTATTTGATCTTCAAGAAAGGAGCTAAAAACATACACTGGAAGAAAGGTAGCCTCTTTAAAAAATGGTGCTGGAAGAATTGGCTAGCTATATGCAAAAGACTGAATATAGATATGTGTATCTCACCATATATTAAATTAAAATCAAAATGGACCTAAGATCTAGATGTTAAAACTGAAACACTTCATCTGCTGGAAGAAAAAATAGGTAAAACTGTTGACTGAAGTCATAAGCATAGGCAAGGACTTTTGGAACAAAACCCCCATGGTTCAGGAAGTACACGGAGAATCAACAAATGGGATCATACCAAATTAAAAAGCTTCTGCATAGCAAAGGGAACAACCAACAAAGAAACAACCTACAGAATGAGAAAAAATTTTTGCCACCTATTACTAAGGAAGCGGCCTCTTCAATAGATGAATGGATAAAGAAAATGTGGCATTAATATACAATGGAATACTTCCCTACCATGAAGAAGGATAAACTTGAGTCATCTGCATGAAAGTGGATGAAATAAATCTGATGCACAAGCTTAAATACTGCCCAATTTCCCTTATATGAGATACCTACAATCTAAATATAAAGGAAAATAAAAAATAGGTAAGAGAAATAAGATGTGTTAAGTACATGTACGGATGCCACTCAAGGAATGCAATCATGTAATGAAAGCATGTACTACTAAAAAAAAAATTTCATCAAGTTATGTTTTTGAGAAGAAACTATGACACCAAAATTTTAACCAAACTGTTGGTATCTCTTCCACCTCACTCTTCTTCCTTTTCTTTTTTCTTCAATACTACCACAGGAATTAAACCCAGGGCCTGGGCATTCTAGGCAAGTGCTACCTTAAACAGGGTTCTGAAGCTTGCTGTGGTGGCCATCACCTGTAATCCCAGCACTCAGGGAGGCTGAGGGAGGAAGGACTGCCACAGTTTGAGGCCAGCCTGGGCTACACAGTGCATTCAAGGCCAGCCTGCCTTACAAAATGAGACCCTGTCTCAAAAAATCAAACACCCTGAAAAAAGGATTCTGCTAAGTTGCCCAGGCTGGCCTCAAACTTGAGATTCTCCTGCCTCAGCTTCCCAAGTAGCTGGGATTACAAGTGTGCACCATCATACCAGGCCAGCAATGGGTCTTCAAAACAAGTCTAAAATCTTTCAAGACAGTATCTTATCAGTTCTTAAGAGGTGATATAATGTGTCGAAAAGAGCTCTAAGATCTCAGTTTCTTTAAAAATACCTCAAGAGTTTGGGGACACAGCTCAGTAGTAGAGGGCTTCCCTGGCATGCCCTGGATTCCATCCCCAGCACCATAAATAATGCCCCGTATTGTAATGAATCTTCTAAGTACAAAAAAATTGTAATTTCCCATAAATTTTTCATCATGTTTGTATTGCTTGTTTCTGCAGAATTTTAACTTTTCTCGATTTCCTTTTTAGTGAAATTCCTCAACTTTCTCTTTATACATCAAAATTTCTTTTCCTCAGCCTCAAGGCTCTTGTTCCCATTCATATTCCATTAGTCCCTCGCAGGTTCAGTTTAACCCTCTACTGGCTGCTTCCCCCTCGCCTATGAACATGCTCTTCTTGCCCAACTTAAAACGAATCTTTCTACTCTCCGAAAAATTCATCCTTTCCTGATTCACATAACCAAGTCTTTTATACAGTACCCTTTTCGCCAGTACTTTTCATTTTGGGAAGGGGGATTATAGGGTGCCAAGAGAAGAGCTACCCCTGGCGTTCTACAGTCAGCCCCTCCTGCCCCAAATTGACATCAGTTCTTCCCACAAATAAGAGTGGTTGAGAATGCCTGTTTTACTCCTGATCCCACCGCACCTACAATCTACAGTAAGTATCAACAGGGTGACAGTACTCTAACTATCTCCCACAAACGGGTCTGGGTAATTTGTATAGAAGCACTCAAAACCTTCTACTCCCAACACCGTCTAGTCGGATCGTCGTTTTTAAAGAATCCAGGGCAGGCTCCCTAGCTTGGTCACTACTCCCAACGGCCACTCCTTCCACCTCACAACCACATCCCGTCGCCGCCGTGGGCACCGCTTTGATGACGACGCTCCAACGCACCTGAGTGACAATTCCTGAGGAGACAAGGCGGCCCAGCAGTAGCCCAGCGGCGTTGGGCTCGGTCGCCGGGTCCCAGGGGTTAGCAGCGGCCATGCTCCAGCCCGCCTCCTGGGAGCGCGCCGGGAATGAGGCGATCGTAGGGCGTAGGCTCGGCGCGAGAAGATGACGCCACTGCGCGGTCCGGCGCGGGCGGAAGCCCTGGGAGCGCATCCCGGACTAGCTCGGGTGCAGGGCATTCTGCTGAGGAGTGCTCTCTCTTCCGAGCGGTGAGCAGTCGGTAGCGATCCGGGGATTCCTGGTCCTTCAAAGGCTCTAAGAGACGTGCTTCACTGAAGCCTCAAAAGCTGCAGGACTGGGCGCTCGGGCTGAGTGTTCTTCCCTTTCTTCCTTGTCCCTCTTGGCTGGCGCCGAGGAGCCAGGGATCGGCAGAAGGTGACACCTGAGGTGGACACTGTAACGGGAGACCGACGGGGTGCGGCTGGACGGGGTGACAGCAGCAGGTCCCCTCCTTCCTACAGGGACCTGAAGCGCGGCACTAAGATGGGAAACAGTGCCCTCCGAGCTCATGTGGAAACGGCGCAGAAAACGGGTGTCTTTCAGCTTAAGGATCGTGGACTGACCGAGGTGAGACGGGGAGGGACCAGACCTGGGACCTTGCAGGGAGAGGGGCCAGGGGCGGTGAAGTTAATCAGGGTGGGGCTCTGCCCGCTGTCGACTCCTTTCTCCAGTTCCCCGCAGAGTTGCAGAAGCTGACGAGCAACCTTAGGACTATCGACTTGTCCAACAACAAGATCGAGAATCTCCCGCCTCTGCTGATAGGGAAGTTCACTCTGCTGAAGAGCCTGTCCCTGAACAGCAACAAACTGAGTATGGCTTCTGTGCCTAGTAATCAGCGGTGACAAGGGGTAGTTTTTCTGTTGCAAGCTGATTTTTTTGTTATAAAACTATTCAGAGGACTCAAGATAGAGAATGCCAAATTCCTGGAAACTTTTATCTGTTATTGTATCTTCAAGCCTCCGTGGGTGGTATGATTATTACTGGGCTAACTTGGACTTGAAAGGGAAGATCTTTGGGATGTGATGTAAACAAAGTTACCTAATTTACAAGGGGGGATGGAACAGGCTTTCCCGCTCTCGCAAAACTGCTGTCAGATTGTGCCTGGGCCTCTTTACAAAGGAGCCCCTTGTACACACAAATGCTGCTGCGTTTGGATGGCACCATCACCTTCTGAACATCGTTTGGTAAAATGCAGTACCTAAAGTGGCACATGTGATAATGCACCATTCATTAGCAAGAGGGGAAGCAGGCTGCTGTGTAGTCTTTATAAACTTCATCAAAGGTTTTCAATTTTATTGGGTTTAAAATTTTTTTTCTTTACCAGCTGTTCTACCGGATGAGTTATGCAATCTGAAAAAACTTGAGACGCTTAGCCTAAACAACAATCTCCTAAGAGAACTGCCAGCTACCTTTGGGCAGCTCTCTGCCCTCAAGACCCTGAGCCTGTCTGGGAACCAACTGGGAGCACTGCCACCCCAACTTTGTAGCCTCCGGCACCTGGATGTGATGGATCTCTCTAAGAACCGGATTCGGAGTATACCTGACCTAGTCGGGGAGCTGCAGGTCATTGAGCTCAACCTCAACCAGAACCAGGTCTAGAGCTTATTGTTTTGGGTTGTTTTTGTTTTTCTCCTTAGTGTATGTTTGGGTGTATGGTCTCCTGATAACCTCTTGTCCTCTAAACTGTAATCATGGAATTGAGTATAAGAGGCTAGATGAGAGTTATTGTCTACAAACTGAGTTTTTTTTTTTGGGGGGGTACTGGGAATCGAACTCAGGACCTTGTGCTTGCCACTTGTGCCACTGAGCTATATCCCCAGCCCCTGAATTAATTTCAAAGTCCACAGTGCCATGGAGTTGGGACACTGGATGTGTTTGCTCTGTAGGTGTTTGGGGAGGGTAGGAAAGGTAACAGTAAAATAATTTCAAAAGTTGCTAAAAGTCGTGTGTGTGTGTGTGTGTGTGTGTGTGTGCGCGCGCACGGATGGGGATCAAACCTAGGACCTTGGCCATGGTAGGCAAATGCTCTACCACTGAGCTACATCCCCAGCTCATAAACATTATTTAAATAGTATAATCGCCAAGCATGGTGGTGCATACCTGTAATCCCAGCACTTAGGAGGCTGAGGCATGAGGATTACCACAAGTTCAAAGCCAGCCTGAGCTACACAGTGAGACCCTGGCTCAAAAAGACAAAAGCAAGCAAACAAAAGTAATAAATACTACAGTCTTTCCTTTGATACACATGGTGCCATGGTGTGAGTGCTGTGTTGTTTTGATTTTTTTGAGATGGGACCCTCACTCTGTTGCCCAAGGAGACAATGAATTTGCAGGCCTTCTGCTTCAGCCTCTGGAGTAGCTGGGATTACAGCCAGGCATCATCACCACCATGCCCACCAGTCCCACAGATCTTGAAAAGTTCTTTAGGACTCCTTGAACATGCCCCTACCCATCTAGTGAGGAGTTGTGCTAGAGATATAGTGTGGGAATGAGGCTCAAACTCATAGGTTCTCGGTTGGACATCAGAGGTTGTCAGTTCGCTTTTTATATGACTGTTAAATATGTGTCCTCCTTTTTCTGAAAAGTCTTGACAGGCTTTCTAGAGTTAGTCCATTTTTTGGATAGCTGTATTTAAAATTTGTTTCCATTACTTCGGAGAAGTTTGGTTATTTATCTATCTGGAGGAAAAAAAATTTGGTCTAAACGTAAGACACAAGTGACATTAAACATTGTGAGATTAGATGGCCTCTAGTTTTTCTAGCAGCTACTCCTTTCTAGATCTTCATGGTCAAATACAGAAGCTATTAGCCACATGTGATTGATTAGTTTTAGATTGTTATTGACCTTCCTTGTAATTAGTCTCATTTTTCTGTAAATTTTTTTGGGAAGCCAGGTGTGGTGATACACCCCTGTAATCCCAGCACTTAGAAGGTTGAGGTGGGAAGACCACTCAGTTTGAGGCCACATAGTGAGTTTAAGGCCAACCTGAACTACATAGCAAGACCCTGTCTCAAAAAACCAAACCAAACCGAAAGGACTGGGGATGCGCCCTTATCCTTAGTTTCTGATTAAGTGTGGGATGATGTCTAAGAATGTGCATTTCTGGTAAGTTCCCGGGGTGGTCTGTAATGCCATCCCATGGAATGTGGTAAGTTGGAGGTAGAGATGTAGCTCCGCGGTAAAGCACTGGTTTAGCATGTTTGTGAGACCCCCAGGTTCCCAGTCTCTAGAACAGGTAAAAAAAAAAGCATATAGACAAAGGAGGTGAATAAATCAAAGAGAACTGTTTGGTATTTTGAGAGCCTAAAGCAGTGATGGTGAACCTTTTAGAGCTTTAAGTCATATAAACAGCCCGCTGTAGCATGCATGCCATAGGTTCACCACCACTGGCCTAAAGGAACAGTAGTTCTGAAATCATATACTCAAAGTTGATGATTGGAAATGTTTTACTTTCAGTCAAAGACATAAAAGTGAAATAGAGATGAGCAGATAGGAATGCAGATACAGATTTTGAATAACTGAAGTATAGCTTTAATGATAACTAGCTTTCTAGATGGGTTCAAAGAGAAGATCAAATATGAAGCATTAGAGACTACTGCTTGAAAAACATCCACACAGAAGGTAAAAATCTGGGATAATTCAAAAGATAGGAAGAAAAATCAAGTACGTATGTACAAATAGAGGGGCTTTCAAGAAAGGGATAGATCCTGAAAGAGTTAAAAGCATGTAAGTCATACATGCATACCCATGTTTATAGCAGCACAATTTATAATTGCTGAATCTTGGAAGCGGCCTATGTGTCCACCAACAGATGAATGGATAAAGAAAATATTATTTGCCGGGCGTGGTGGCACACACCTATAAACCCAGCGCTCAGGAACCTGAGGCAGGAGGAATCGTTGTGAGTTCGAGACCAGCCTGGGCTACAAAGTGAGCTCAAGGCCAGCCTGAACTGCAT